CTCATAATTTGGATTTCAATGATTTCTCCATGATTTATTCATTAGATTTTTCATAAGTGAAGTCTTCAATCCAGCTTTCATTGCAGAAAGGTACTTGAAAAATGTCGGAGATAAAAACTTTAAAATGTTGGAAATAAAAGATGAAAATTTAAAAAAATTCCGGAAATGAAATGCAGCCATTGAAACTATGCCCATAATATCGTGCACATGTCTTGGATTTAATCCACAATGTGTGTGTACAAGTTACATGAAAAACATTATTTATGGAATACATCCTTATTTTGGTAACAGATCAGAGATAGATGTAAGGAGATGGGTGAACAAGGCGTGCAGAATGCCTATAGCTTCAGATATGTAAAAAATCAAATTCAATTTGTGAAATTAGTATTAGTAAATTTCTTTTTATTGAAATTCCTGAAATTGTGATAAAACTTTTCCGAGGAAAATTTTCCCGGCAAAAATTATTCTGTTATTAAAAATTAATGAGGTATTCATGGGGATCGAACCCCCTAGCAATAAAAATCCTGAGTATCATTTTCCTTTGATACCAACGCGCTAACCACTACGCTATACAACTCCTGATAAATGGTGGCATTTAAATCATGTTTGTGATATGACCCTTGACTAAATGGACTTAAGAAGGCTGGGGGGTTGTGGCCATTTTCAGACTATATTGATCTCCTTTAGAAGAAGAGCTCCATATGAAGATATACAAAAATGATCAAAGGAGATGGGCGAACATAGCGTGCAGAAAGCCTATAGCTTCAGATATATAAAAATCATGTTCAGTTTGTGAATTTAGTATTTAGAGTAAAGTTCTCATTATTGAAATTTATGAAATTATGATAAACAAAACTTTTCTGAGGAAAAATTTCCCGGCAAAATTTATTCTTTTTTTTAAAAAAAATAATGTGATATTCGTGGGGTTCGAACCCTAGCAATAAAAATCCTGGGTATTATTTTCTTACGAGACTAGCACGCTAACCACTAGACTACACAAGTCATGATGAAGAGTGGCATTTAAATCATGTTTGTGATATGACCCTTGACTTAATGGACTTCGAGTATTTCTTGAAAAAATGCGAATGTTATGTCATAAAAGTATATTTTTAAGGTATAGTGGGTCATTGCTCCATATTTTTGATAACCAAATAATGTATATTTTTATGCAAACTTTGAGGATTAACTTTCAAAAAGGTGGAGCGAAGACCCACTCATATCGAAAAATAGTATTATAGTATGAGAAAATGACTCTTTTTGCCCGCTTTAGTGTGTGTCTAATATTTCACAGGCAAATAATTTCAATCTTTGAGGGATTTTTGCAAATTATAGAGATTTTACATAAAGTATATTTTAATGTTAGACGAAATATCAAGGAAAATTTTGATATAATTGAAATTTAATTTTTCATCTTCATGTTTGTCACACTATAGGCTTATCGCTCGTTATGTTCACCCATCTCCTTTTAAAACTAAAATTTATGAAATTTTTCTTTGCCAAATGAAAGTTGACAGCTTAAGATATCATGCCTAAAAAATTAAGTTATATCTGATGGTTAATTTGTTGACCCCCCAGCCTCCTTAAAGTATTTCTCAGAGGATGCGAATGTTGTGTCATAAAAGTGTATTTTTAAGGTATAGTGGGTCTTTCCTCCATGTCTTTGTTTACCAAAAAATGTATATTTTTATGCAAACTTTGACGGTAACCTTTCAATAAAATGGAGCGATGACCCACTCATATAAAAAAAAAAATGTGTTATAGTATGAGAAAAATGATCGTTTTGCCATCTTTAGTGTGTGTGTATGCTATTTCATAGGCAAATAATTTCAATCTTCGTGAGATTTTTGCAAATTGTGGAAATTTTACATAAAGTATACTTTAATGTTAGATGAAATATCAAAGAAAATTTTGCTGTAATTGAGATTTAATTTTTCACCTTTATGTTTGTTACACTATAGGCACTTTGCTTGCCTTGTTCGCCGATCTTCTTTGTATCAGTAATTTGAGGAATCTTGATCAATTTATTTTAGAGAGCTTGAATAAGTTACACTTCTGAGAGCTCTAAATAAATTTACACAGAGGGCTAAAATGGTATATGCACTGGTCGAAGTAGGAGTAAAAAAAGAGATTTGTTGTTACATTCATTCTTAATAAAATTAATGTTTTTTCGGTGAAATATGAATTTTTATGTTTAGTTGCTAAGGGGATTGCATGTTGCCATGGCTTAATTATTAGGAGATTACATGTTGCCATGACAACAACTGATAGAATATTTTATATTCTTTCCCCTCTCTCAACATATACAATCATCAACACATTAATTGAATATTCATTTCCATCACAAACAATATGATCCCAAAGTCAAATCTGTCTTACAGGAGGCATAGGGTACATTGGTTGCCATGTACAGGTAATAGTTGCCATGGGTTGATTAAGTACCAAAAAAACTTTAATAAGACCAACATTTCATTGTCAATTTTGCTCAACGACATTTTTCTGACTTAATTTGAATAAATATTAATAAGATTACATGAATACATGTCAAAATTAACTTTCTTTGCTGCGTTGCTATGGAGAACCTGTTGTTGCTATGGAGATAAATAATTATACAATATTCAATAATTTGCTAGGAAGTCCAAATTTAATTCTACTATTTTAAAATTTGTTTTTCGTTTTTGTAGATAACAATTCATTTGATTTTTCCGTAAACTTTTTACATTGTTTCTCATTTTATGTATCAAAATGCCCATATTTGTTGCTAGGCAACAAATTCAATTTTCAAAAAGGCCCGTGGATTTGACTTCAAATTCTAAAAGAGAAATTCATCTGCTTTTATGTGAAATACACGCAACAGCTGTATTAATCTGGCCTTTTTTAAAATTTGGCCTTGAATATTGCCAAAATTATGAAAAATGCTGAATCAGCAAAAATTGCAAAACATGTGTACCTTCCAATGGCTAGCACAGAACTAACTTAAGACCTAAATTTCTTTTATTGCATTATTAAAACACTTTAAATGTGTATCTTTATTACACCAGTAAGTGAAAAATATTCTCATGGTATTAAAATTTTATTTTAAGCCTTAAAGATAGGTGAATTTTTGTCCATCAACACAGAAAAATTTGCTGGTTGCTAAGGAAATTTCTTTGGCCGGGTTTCCATGGTAACCATGACTCAAAGCATTTTTCATTTTACATACATTGTTCATAGTTCAAAACAAATCTATGTGTGGAAAATCATCAAATTCTGAGAACCCTCATATATCACCCTTTGTCTGATTTTTATGTGGACTGGTACTTAAAAATCTTCTCAAGAACCACTGTGCTTGAAAATATCAAACTTATGTGGAAGCATCCTCAGGTAGTGTAGATTCAAGTTTGTTCAAATCATGACCCCGGGGGTAGGTATAGGCCACAATGGGTGATCAAAGATTTACATAGGAATACATACGAAAAATCTTCTTCTCAAGAATAGCAATTCAATTATTAGAATCAGATAATCTTTTAAAAACTTAGATGAATATGTGCTAAGAATAACTTTCAATGCTTCGTTGCTAAGGAAAACTTGCTGTTGCCATGGAGATAGCTTATTGTAAAATAGTCTTTAGTACAAGAAAAAATATTTTATTATTTTAAAAATTTGTTTTTGGTACTCAATGATTACAATTTATTCGATTTTTCTTCCAATGCTTTACATTTTCCCCTTTTTAAATTTATCAAACCATCTATTTTTGTTGCTTAGCAACATACAGGAATTTCAAATTTGCAAAACTTTTTATTTCAGATGCTAAGAGAGGTTTTCCTGTGGTTTTACATGAAATAGATGAAACAATTGTATTAAGATGGTGAAATGAATAATATCGACTTAATTTTTGCTGAAATCGAGCAAAATGCTGAATCAGCAAAAATTGGGAAACATGTATCTTTACCTGTGTCTATAGCAAATATATAAGAGAATGTAATTTCTTTTTATTACATTGACAGAACACTTTTAATGTGTATCCTTCTTATTACACTAAATAAGAAAAAAATATTTTATTTACATTTTGTATAAAACCTTCAAAATGAGTGAAATTTCGTCAATCTACAAAGAAAAATTGGCCGGTTGCTAAGGAAATTTCTTTGTCCAGGTTTCCATAGTAACAATGACCCAAAATCTTTTTCCTTCCACATACATGGCTTATAGCCCAAGAAAAAACTTTGAGTGAAAAATCATTAATTTCTAAGAAACCCATGTATCACCTCCTGCCTGATTGTTACGTGGACCTGTACTTAAGTCGGTGGATAACGAATGGTCACTATTTTTATCGCCATTAAAAATACAACACTGAAATATCTAAATTTCTTTATCAATTGATAAATTAATGTCAACTCAATGTTAAAAAAAATCATGAGGTTCTCTCTTGTCCGCACAATTATTTGCCCCACTAATATACCAATTAACGAGGAAAAATTGCATAATTTGTCATAAATTTCTACAATTTTCCGACTAAACATATACAGTATTATTCAGGCACATACTGTAGGAAACCATTTCAATTTTTGGGCACAACGAAACATGTTCAGTTTTTTTTTTTTTTTTTTTTGGGGGGGGGGGGGCTACCAAAAATAAAAAAAAAATTCTAGAGAAGCAAATACAAGGTCATCATTGAGGGGGTACAAGAATGCATATAGTCAAACCGCATTATCTCAAACTGGATGGGACCGAGAAAAATTCGAGTTATCCTTGGCTTCGATATATCGGGGGTAAAATACTCAAAGGATAAAAGGTTGGGACTTCAGTGAAATCAGTGTTCAAGATAGCGAAGTTCAACTGTAGTAGCTATGATTTCTATAGTATCCAAATATTATGTACTTAATGTGTGAATTTGAGCAATTTGTTAAGGCAAGAAACATATGATAAAGCTAAGACAAGATTCCGTTCTTAATTAAGAACAAAAAAAATATAAGCTTTTTCCATTTTTTATAGAAATATTAAATTACGTACTAATTAAATCAAACCTTGTTTTGGTTCCCAGCCAAGTTTTTTGCATGCGCTTCTGTACCCATTAATGGATTCCATAAACTCGGCTGGAGAGGATGACTCCGCAAGAGACAATAATGCAATGATGAACAGGAACAAGGTTGAAATGAAATACATCCTCAAACTTTTTATATTCTGTAGCACCTATAATGTCATCAAATTTTCATGTTCTCATTCTTATATATATATATTCTATATATATATATATATATATATATATATATATATATATATATATATATATATATATATATATATATATATATATATATATATATATATATATATATATATATATACATGCATCCATACAAATGACCTAAAATATAAAAAAAAATAGAATACAATTTAATGAAAGATGTTTTTATGATTTCTAAGACATGATTTTCTAAATAAATTTCGTAATACTATTCTTCATTCCGTATTATTTTTTTCGGGGGGGGGGGGACAAATTTCTGTAAACGTTTAAGAACCTGAGAAAGCTGCAATAAATGCGTTTCTTTTTGCATGTTAAGGCTATAATGGGTAAGTTTTGAGTGCAAAAGCTTTTCCCGCACATTAGTTTATTCTACCAAAAGTTCAAACAATCAGATCCATTTTCATCACATACTTCATGTTTGATGATATAAGCTTTATATTGCAAGATTTTGGAAACTGATGTCATCTAATTAAAGGGAAAAAAGAAAAATGACGTCAAAATATAATCAATCAAATCAATTTTTTTAAAAATACATTAAGACGCCTGTCTTGCAGTTTTAAATGTACATGGATCAAATTTAATAAGCAATGATATTAGTAATAAATAGTTTTATTTTAATTTAAAATAGGAGGTAAAAAATGTTTTTTATTTATGTATTTTCTACATAAAAGCAAATTATTTAGTCGTATGGAAAATTACATGCGTTATTCATGTTATTTGTTGAAATCAAGCATACTAGTAGATATTCCGTTTTACCTACCTTCAACTCTCTGTAACAATAAAATATCTCTGGAGATGTCTTATTCCCTGATATTTAGATATTAATGAAGAAACATGAGTTCCGTAGAGTTATGTTAAACGAATTAGAATATTTTCCTTCTAGATCTCTTGTTGATGAAAGCTATGTACAACTTCGTAAATCTTACTTACAGAAATGTCTTTAATATACTGTCTCTTGTATAGGGTTCTCAACTTATCAGATTTTTAGAAACCAAGAAACTCTAATTAAACGTCACTACCTTTCACTCAGACTGAAATTTTTAAGACTAGAATTATGCAAGTTTTTTTTCTGTTTAAGATAAGAAAAAAAACGTTCCACATACTTTCAGAGATATTCGTTATCAACATATTCATGTTAACGCTACTGTAAACAAAATTGCTGTATTTATCGATGATGCATGTTTATACTTTCCTAAAAATCTCTATCGTTTAATTGAACATTTTTCTTCCAATACATATCAATAATTAGGAAATAAAATCATGTTCAATCAATGTGTTTATGCCTAATCATTCCTAGGATCCTTACTTTTTAAGTCGTCGAAAGTGCCCACAAATGCTATTCAAAGGAGTGGTTAATTACATTAAAGATGAAGAAATGGGCTATTAGAAACTTTTCATGTATTCTAATGTATTTACATCTATCGTACCCTTGGCACTGGCTCTTTGAAGTTTTGAATCTGCTTGACTGATCTATAGTGGAAGAAGCCCATTTATGCAAACTGAAACTAAATTAAAAAAAACTAAATACCAAAAAAAAATTAATAAAAAAAATGAAAACACATAAATAAATAGAAAACTAAATTACAAAAGAAAAATCCTAACTACAACACTCACGAAAAATAAGGTCAATTAACTTCAGAAACTCCTTGAAAATAAGATTTCAGATTTTGAAAATAATATCTTGAAAATATTTAAAATATTTGTCACTGTTAAAGAAACTTTTTCATATTCTGGAAAAGCAGTTTGAGATAGTCTTATATATATTGATTAAACTATCTACAATTGATTTTAGAGTCTGAGGTTCTGCTTTGATTATATCTTTCAGAAAGAACAGCAGCGCCACATTCTCAGAGAATATCATGACGTTTTAAGCCATAAAGATAACACATCAGTTATTAAACCATTGGTTCCAGACACTTCTGCCCAGTTGAATTCTCCATGTTACGGCCGATTATTAGAATGTAGATTTCACCTTTTCTCCTCCAAAAAATTATTGCATTTTTATAGAAGTGGTGGAGCACTTTTGTAAAAGAAATGATTTTGCTTAAATTCCTATGAGTTACTTTCGTTTTATGTTGCTATACTTAAGGGGCATCATCCCTCTGCTAACGTATATAAAATTACTCCTTTACGCTAATAAGTTTCCAAAAGAACTCTAATTTGTAATTAAAACGCATACAATTTCAGCATACCTTGAAGGGGAAATTTGACAGAAATGGCTTGTAAACTTGAAAATTTCATCAAGGAATAATTATAGTAATTTGTACCAGTTGTATTAATCTCTGTTATCAGAGTATCAATGAACCTTAAAAGAATTGTAATTGTAAGATAGGATGGGCTAATAAAAAAATCATGCATGATAATAAAATAGATGTTTATATTTACATGAGGTGATTGGTATCGCAGATTGAATTTTTTGTTAGAAGTTATGAAATAATTTACATTTATAATTTTATGGCATCAGTCAGAAGTCACTTTGCAATCATACAGCTATCTATATTTGCGACAATCAAACCAGTTACTTGAGGATAAGATACCTTTCACTGCAAATTTATGCTTTAGTTTGTTTTGATATTATATCAAAATTGTGGCATTACACACTTTGATTTATAAGTTGCTGAAGATTTATATGGCAATACTTGTAGATTTTTCAGCTCAAATAACCACCCCTATGTTATCATTTCTGGTCTCTTTTTCTTCTTTTCTCTGACACGTATGATAAAATTTGAATACATAGGAAAAAAGGTATTCATACCTTTACACACATGGAATTCCCAGTTAATAAAACCAAAGTTTTAAAAGACCACAAAAATATGGAAATATGTTCAGGAACGTAAAATCCTATAGGGTTTATTCTTATCATTAAGATTCTCCTTTGTCACAAATATCTTTTCATTGTCATCTGGGGATCTAAAATCAAGAAAGCGTTAATGCAATCTTTTTTTAAATTACAGGAACAGTGTACTTCATGTAATATTTAAAAATTGTTCTAAATGTGCACTATATAATAAATATGATATATGAAGATAACGAACAGTGCTCAAGTTCAAAAGTTTATTTAAACAATAAAAATTGTGAGCAGAGGCAAAATGGACCTCTGAAAACAGAGGTAGAATTCAGTGCCATAGAGGAGTAAGCATCCCCTGTCGACCCGTTACACACACCGTGTTCACCTTGTCATGATGAGCTAAGAACAAAATCCGTAGACAACCCAGAGTGAAAATAATGGTCTAACAATTTGTATGAAAAACGTCACTCAACATTTGTCTTAACGACAGAAGGCATTTGCAAAGAAGGTCATTGCATTGGCCTTAAAATTGAGAAATGCTGACTTTAAACGATATTGTTAATATCCTTGAATCATCTGTTTATTTGTCAATTATCTGCCTGGTTTTAGAATTTGTACAGCATGCTCTTCCGTTTCAAATCAACTGGGAGACAAAAACATTCATATGCAGGTGGTAATGGTATATTTACAAAAATTAAAGACTGAGTATATATTTATGATGTATCGTAATCGACACATATCAAAACCAAGTCTCAAATGGCAACAGCCAAGGAAAATCAGCTATGACAGTAATAGCCCAAGAAAAGATTAGTATGTCAAAGAATCCTTTTTTCCCTCAAAACATCAAAATGATTGAACTGCATTTTACATAAATTGTGAATTTTTATGTCGCTACCACCATATCACAGAGTTACTTCTTACTCATTAAGAAAACGGAAGGTAATTCAGGAACTTAATTACTTGTACCAGTGCAAAATATTTCGACTTTGTTAAAAATCCATAAAAAAAAAAAAAAAAAAAAAAAAAAAAAAAACGGGTAATGACTTCAAAACTTTATTAATTATCCACAATTTAAAAAGTCAAACATTTACATGCATTTTTGAAATAAAATCTGACTTCACTATTGTTCTCTCCGCATAAATATTTAGGTAGATGTTCTTCCGTGCTATCTAGAAGTAGCTTATTTTGTAACCCGAAAAATATGTGTACTTGTCAGCGTGCATGTATGCAGCCTTCACATAAAATGTTCTGATCCAGACTTTGTTTCCTTTCTTCAATTCATAAAGCAAATGGCCTGAGGTACTAACATGATAACTTTGTTGATCATTCACACAGGTCGATGCTTTCCGTGCACCGTCTACCACTGCCTCTACGTAAACTTTTGATTTCCTGGTTGAAATAAATGTCCACTCGAAGTTGTAAACACCGTCCTCTGGTGCCGTAAAAACACCTGATTTAGGATCATATCCGTTTCCTTTATTCAGAAAAACATCCTCAAATTTTATAATTGTGTTTACGGGAACGTTCCTGAGGTGAGATTTTATGGCGGCGTGGAATGCAATCACATGACCAACTAAAGAACACCCTATATTAACAAAACATATTCAATGACAGTATCAAAGATAACAAATTGAATGTAAACAATAATAAATTCTCGTGTTAATAATTTATTATCATTATTATTTTATTTCTAAGAATTATGCTCTCATGCACATCTGTTTTATTTTGACAGTAGAACATGTAGTAGACATGGAAAAAAATTAAAATAATTTTATTTCAGTCCTTATTTATTCCATATGTCATTTGATCAGACATGCATTTTATTACGGGAGCAATAGTGACGAAAAATATAGTATGTTAGAATACAAATAATAAGTCAGTTTTTGCATTGCGGAAATAAATTATTACCTTTCTTCGGTTCCCAACCAGCCCGTTGGCAAACGCTCATATAACCATTGAAATCTTTGATCAATAAACTTTGACGGCGTTGATGTCTCTGAGATAGAAAAGGTCGTATAAAGCAACAGAACGACAATCGTTAAAGTTGCTACCCGCAGATTTCCTGTATACCTGTGAGATTATTTACAGATTTTTTTTAATTATTCAAACTAAATAAATTTTTTAGGATAAAAAAAATTCGCTCATATGAACATTTAGAATATCGAATGATGTTAAAAAACAAAAAGAAAAGAAAACGAAGAGAAAAACAGAAAAGAAATATCGCAGAAGTGTTGCAGATTAGGCTTAAACTAATACAGAACTTCGAAAAAGTACATATTGAGTAAAAAGTATCTTTGCATGTATCAAATGGAAAAGTACCCACATGTTCATTGTTGAAAATTTCTCCACTTTATGAATATGCTGTAAGAAGTTAACAATTATATCACTCAATGTGTCGAAATTGGAAGATGTAAATTGTACGCGTATGTTAATTTAAGTAGGTGTGCAATGTATATATATATATATATATATATATATATATATATATATATATATATATATATATATATATATATATATATATATATATATATATATATATATATATATATATATATATATATCCTGTTTTTATGCTGATGTATATACAATATAAACAAGCAAAAATCTCGTTAAAATCAAAGGACTGTACATTCAATATCTCAAATTACATTTGATATTATTTTTTTCCTGTTTGCTAGATTAACGTATCAAATTAAAGCCTTCAGAAAGCAAATAAATCTAATTGAAACGTTGCAAAAATGTTTAAAAAAAAAAACAACTAGAATTACTGCGAAACTATCTGCCTTATGCATACACATAATTAGAGTTTAGTTCTTAGTAAGTGTTGGAATTTTTATCATTAGTAGGTAAATTCATCGGAAAAATATCATCGGTCACTTTTCCTTCCATACACTGCTTTAAATCTGTTGCTTTCTCCTTCTCTGTTCTACTTTATTCCTACTATGACATTTAAGTATTTTAATAATTAGTGCTCAAAAAAAAGTACAAGAGTCCCATGGGCCACATTTCTCACCTGAGCACTTTGGCTAGGAAAAGGCAGATTTTTAAGCCACCCACACTTTACATCTGGTTTACAAACACAGCATGTATTAATTTCTGAAAATGAAAATTAAAACACATTAATTTAATTAAAACAAATTAGTAAAGAATATGCAAGGACGAACTGATACTGTAATTGTATACTTCTCCATTTTTATCTCTTAACTGAGAAAAAAGTTTTCAAAATAATTTCATTTTACAACAGAAGTACATGTTTATTTAAATTATTAGTACTGTACATGTAAATCTTCATGATTTTATAATGACTCATGTAACAGAGGTGCAGATGTGTTTCAAAATGATGTCATGTAAAGTTACCCAATGGGCATTCACATGTAGAAGCAGATACTGCATAACCAACCACTAGTGTTGTCTGGAATAAAAATTAAAAGTAAAAATTAAAAGTAAAAATTTGAAAGTAATACTTGTCTTGACCCCACCCTCCTCTCCCCGGGTCAAATGAAGAAAAAGAAAGAACAAAGTTATGAAAAAGTAAATTTACAATTTAAAAGGTTAATCTAAAATGCAATATCATGGACGTGTACACATCACTTTCTCATAAAAATGTTTATGATCAATTCATGACTTTTCAAAAGTGCACTGATCATCAATCATACCTACATACCTACCTACCGTGACTTTCTATGACTTACTTCTCATCGACGCTTGGACGACAGTATGCAGAGTATTTGTTACCATGTCGTACAAAAACTTCAGGACATGTTCATTATTAACAGGATTCTCAGATTTGCGCTAACAGTTTGGGTTATCGGTTGTAAAAAAAGTTTCAGTCCCCGGACTCTACTGTATTCATAGCGACTTCTAGATGCTAAGTAAGTTAGCATATTCCAACTTTGCAACTTTGGAACTGATCCTGGATTCGTGCAAACACCGAGCTGTCACCGTCGCCAAAGTACCTCATGTACCGTTCTATTCGGACCTCCTATGCCTCTAAATTGTCTTCTAATAAAATATCTGCTTCCATGGCGTTACTGCTGTCAATCCAGTTTTTGGAGCGCTTATTCTAACAAACATTTACACCCTTGAACGCAGCTCTACTGCAAATGTAACAGTACCGATTCTTCACCCTAATATGCAAAAAATTTCCAATCTGCGCCCAAATATAACAACTGCATCTCCTAGTTCATTGTAAATATGTTTATGTGATCTTTCAGACCATCCACCATCACACACAACAGATAAAACTGGTATTATTACTAATATAAAATAAAAAACTGTGGTCCTGGGCTTCAAGTCAATAATCAAAGACAATTACAACTCTGACTCAAATCCATAACTTGCCAACAAACATTTTTTTTAAAAGTTTTTTTTAATAAATAACTAAAACATGGTTTAAAAAACATCCCTTTCAGCTATCGTTAAAGAGGTATAGAGTACATAATATTCGGCATTGCCTAGAGTATAGTGCATTTACAAACATTCAAAATATTTCAATATTTTATGATATTTTGTTAATCTATCTATAAACAAATTATGATAATTATTAGTAGATATTTAATTTAATATTTTTTACTTTATCTAATTATTTTTTAATCATCGTAATTTCCACACAATATACACATCGGAAATAAACATATAGATCTTTACATTATTGCTCCAAATTGTCTGTTTGTCATTTGAACATTTGAATTTTACGTTACCTTGACTTAATATAATATCGATTATTTTGGAAAGATGAGACACATAAAGAGAAAACGTGGATACGTTGACGACATACTTAGATTGCAGCAGTAGTTCCCACAATGAATAGTGATCTAGACCATTAATGGAAAAAAAAGCCTTGAAAACGATCGAGAAAAAATCTTATATATGATTTCGTAAGATGTCCAACAAATTTAAAAATATTAATATCATGATAAATGTTTGATTTGATTATTGTGATATATGCATATACACAGAGAGGCTCTATATGAAATAACAAAAGAGATATATCTCATAAATAATTTACAAGTGTTACTTGTGAATTTTTAGCCCGAAACAGAGCAAAAGTTTACAGGGGAATCTTTCGAATAATATATATATATATATATATATATATATATATATATATATATATATATATATATATATATATATATATATATATATATATATATATATATATATATATATATATATATATATATATATACAAAACATTTCCGCATACTAGTATATATATTTCATAAAACTGTTTTCCTACATCCAATACATAACCAATGCGCCAAGAATCTATTTTTGGTAAAAGGTAGTTTCCATTTCAACATTTAAGCATGGCTGTAGGCGAAACACTGGGAAAAGGGCGCTTTACCTCTTTCTATTCGATTAGTAGTGCATTTGAGGCAACTTCTTAAAAATATCCAATATCCTGATATTGGGGTTTCAGGTAAAATCAGTAAGCTTTTGGTAAATTTTGCACAAGATCTATGGTAAGGTTAATTACTTTTACCTTATTCTGGATGATATTGAATATTTTATCTAGTTTCCCAAAAAGTTCATTGAAGATTTTTAAGAATGCCTGAAATGTGCAGGAATTGAAGAGATTACACAAATCCTGTAAATACATTTGCTGTTACTTTCAATAAAACGGAAAAGCTTTATAAATAAGTTTTGAAAATATCAAACCGCAACAATGTATGTCATCGTTCGATTCTGCAAGCATTTAAACATTTAAAACCATATTCATGTCATACCCCTTCAAAGTCGATGTTCACACCTTGTAAATGAAGAAATTAACAGAAAATCTCGACACTGATGTCGAATTGCGCATGTCTTCTGAAATTCTTTATCAGTTGTGAATTGGGGATGCAGGTAATCTACTAAAGCTATTATTGTATACATGGGAAAGGATGTTTAGAACAGTGTAATTTCCTTTTAATTGTTAAATTATTTGAAAGATTTGTTGAAGCGGAACGCATCTCTGAAACAGGCCGAGCATAATTATTTTGTACTTTAATCCGTCTGCTTATTCATGAGGTATCCTCTTCGAAGTTAAGTTGACTGCAATTCCACAGCCAGCCTTGATTATCTCATTGAACTTTGTTAGATACAACTCAACTCTGCACTGTCTCTCCTTCATGGATTCATTAATTTGAAGGATATAATATTTAACATGTATTAAATCAAACCCAATGCAAAATCGTCCCTAAATGTTTAAATAAAAAAGAACTAGAACTCTGTTGCCATGGCAAAAAAGAGATCTTTCGCCCTTTCCCAATGACCAAAGAGGTTTATTTTGCAAATATTGCACCGGATTTATTCGTTAAGTTCGACCGTCACAAAATGATAATAAACAGAATATTTTGAAGTGTGTAATATAATAGAAATAAACGTTAATCCAACGTTGTCGAAAATTTTTAATGGTAAATAAAATTTCTTTTCACTCGTGTCGACAAGCTGAAAATATAGGCATAAGTATTAGAAGTATCTTTACTTAACCTTATAATACGATAGAAAAATAGCGAGACAAAAACTTTTGATTTAATTTATATAATGAAAACGATCGGGAAATGTTGTACTCCAAAAAAATGTAATGATGTTTCATAATATCTTTAGAAGTGGCACCGATAAAAATTTTATTTTGAAATCAGAAAATTGGCTAGAACTCGGCACTAGAAGTGGGTGTTTCAAATATTCTTTATGATGAATAAAGATAGTATCAATACCCATTATACCTTATATCATTTAAGACACCTTGATTAGTCCTTGATCAATCACTTGCATTCAATTTTTGGGGGGGAAATGAAAAGAAAAAGACTACACTGAGTTGTCGACTGATTTTTTCGTTAATACCCGTTCATAACGGCAGGTGTGACCGGTCGGAAGGGGAAGTTCACTCCTCCATGGCACCGTATCCCGCCCCTGTTGTTTTGGAGTCTGTGTTTGCTCTGCTCCGGGATTTGTATTGTTTAATGGACTTTTGGTCTTGAGTGCTGTTCGTTATCTCCATACATTTCATAGGTCACTATCAGATCGAAAACGGAAGACCTTCATGAATGAAAATACTTACTGTAAACAGCAAACATCATTAATATACAGCAGAAGAGGAAGTCTCTTGTCGTCGTCGTTAAATTGTGTAATGAAGCTCTCCGTTATTTAAACTGATATTTGAAATGTTTTAATGAACTAATATCAAAATGTTAGACAAACTCAAATTCAAATAAAATACTCATACAGACATTCTGAATTTATGCAAAATTGTTGTACCTAGTGCATTTTTTTTGAAGAATCATATCATCACTGAAGAGACATAATTTGTCGAAATGCGCATCTGGTGCATCAAAATTGGTACCGTATATGATTTACATTATGACCCCTGGGTCGAGACCTCTGCTGGAGGACTGTTAGTCCCCGAGGGTCTCTACAGCCCAGTAACCTAGTACTTTGGAACTAGCTTGAAAAATACGGATATAAATTTAATTTCTGTCGTAAAATTTTCAAAATTTATTTCAAAATTAAGGATTATCTCCCTCATGCGTGGCTCTAATCCTTCAGCGTATTTGGCTCTAGTCTTTGGCACCTTTTCAGCTCTTCCAAGCCTTTTTTATTCAAATAGTTTGGATTTCAAACGTTTCGGCTTGAGCATCACTGAAGAGACATAATTTGTCGAAAAACGCATCTGGTGTATCACAATTGGTACCGTATATGATTTACATGAAAGATAAAACCATCAGAAAAGTTAACACTTATTTTAATTTATTTACCCTTTAATTTTCGTCAGGAATAAAATAGTTGCACACCTTGCCCTTTAAAAAGGCGTAAATGTTAGCATGTGTTAATCGAACCACTTTATTTAGACGGTGATATGATAAGCAAGGTGTTGCAAGCGAATATTTAATCAAAATGTATTTGACTATGTAAATCATGCATCAAGGAAGTAACCCATATTTGAAAGGGAAACGGTACACTTTTCAAAAATAACCCATATTATCATGCAAATTTGTTCACAGTTATTAATTTTAGTTTTAGTATGATATATCTTTTGTACTGTTGAGAGAAATTATTAAAGAAATCAACAGTCAAATTTGTTGTTATTGTTTGTTTGTTTGTTTTTTAATTATTATTTATCTTTTATCGTTGTTATTGTCATCAAACTTTTGAAAAGAAATAATGTTATGAAACCTTAAATACATAAACTGATTATTATCAGGATCTCGAAATCATGCATCAAGAAAACCCCTCAAGAGTATAAAAACCCTCCTAGTAAAAAAAAATTTACACTTACTACAGCTTGATTGTTGTTATACATATATGTATATGACTAACATCCAAAACGACTTTACAATGAAATACAGTGAAACCTGTCTTATCCGACATGCTGCGGGAAATAAAATCAATGTCGGATTAGGCAGTGTGTCGGATTACCCAGTGTTGAATATTTCTGAGCATTATCATATGTGTCAGACGACTTCATACAAAAAAAAAAATTCGTTAGGTTAAGAATACACTTATATTTAATTGTCAAAGTGTTTGCATAATTGTGTGTTTCTTTGCTGTATAAAATAGATCTGATTAGCATTTCTTTGAGAAACAGCGTTTGTGATATAGCATTAGTAAACTCTGTACTTTATAGTAATATACGATGTTTTTCTTTTTTTTTTTTAATGGCAAAAACATGGAACTGCCGATCGCTTCGAGATGTTGCAATTTAATTTTTACTTACTGACAGTCGATATTAAAGTAAATATTCCGTCTACCTT